CAAAAGAAAACAAAATGAAAGCAAGGCTCAGAGCGAGCGCGCAGCACGCGACTGCTCTCTAACACGCCGGACCTGCCGCACAACAGCAGCTGCCTTTCCCGGGAACTTCGGGGATGTGGGGCCCTGAAAAGAGACGATGCTAAAGTGACAGCCGTCATTCTCGTTCTTTCAGACTTGCTTCTCTTTCCCGACTCTTTCAAAGGCCTGGTTTGCCTGCTAGTTTTGTACGGACGCTTTGGCTGAGTCTATTAGGATAATACAAGACAACTCCACCCCCGGCATGGGGTCTGCTGGGGTCTACAGCTCGTATCCCTTCCCATGAGCGTAGGTGTGCTGGCTGAAGGCACCTTTATCGTGAGCAACAGCACAGTTGCTAGTGGAAGCTGCAGGACAACTTGTGCGTGCAAATCTCTTTGTTGAATCTCCTGGATGGTCAGGTAATGTTAACCCTTCATCTCTCTTCCAGCTCCCAGGTCTGCAATCAGGGGAATCTCCTCTCTTGCACCAAGACCTCAGCTGCCTCCCAGGATTACACTCCGAGCTGCTCTCGCTGCTGCTGCCGCCAAGGTGGCCAAATGCTTCACATTAAGAGCATTTTCCTTTCCAGCTCATAACTTTGTCCAACTTGCATACATTTGGGCTAGAGAGTTTTCCATGCCAGGTCTCTTCCTCGGGCTGAGTGGGCGTTAGAAAATTTCAGCCCAAAGTGTTTTTCCAGGTACAAAACTAGGGAAAATGTTTTGTCCAAGACTGAATTCTGGCTCCTTTTTTCTTTCGACAGCTCTGGCTCCCTCAGGCTTTGGACCAGGAATTGGAAATTGAAGTGGCGGGCGGGGGAAGGGGAAAGGCTTTGTCAAGGATGTGCTTTTTGCTGTCCCTGTAAAAATGCGCTTGGCTGCAGCCAAGTCCTGAGCTTTGGAATAGCTGTGGTTTGCGTGCTCTCGCAGAGGCCTCTTGGAGCTCCAGAGGCTACGATCTCCAAGGATTTTGGTCTGAGCTGACTTGGCCAGACTGGGCCTTTGCTCTCGCCACGGCACAGCTGGGTACGCTCCCATCTGACAGCGCGAGGTAGGAGATCTCCTGCATATGCGGGGGGATATATAGTACCTTGTCATGCAACTGCAGGTTGCAATGCCGACGGCCAAAGAAGCCAAACCCTTTTTGCCATGCAGCCTTAATTATGCTGCTTCCCAGCTGTTGGACTCAGCAGTGTTGTTTTAACGGAGCTGTTTTTGCATGCGATTACCCATGCAGGCTTCCTCCAGAGGTGGGGAGATAACGGGTCTGAGATTTGCCTTTGTCACTATATCTTGAGTCGAGTTATCCCTGGTGCAGCTGCCCTGACTGCAGGGCACTGACACGAGGGGCGGGTTTGCTCCGAATTTAACACGGCAATAGCAGGGAACGGTTTGCTCCTGCTGCAGCCTGTGCATGTGCCTCAGCCCTGCCTGGGATGGACCGCGTCCAGCAGCTCGGGAGGAGGGCACGCTCTAGTTCATTTGCTCCTCAGTCTATCTCCCGGAGAGCCAGTTGTGACAGCTGCTGTCTGTAATTGTTGCACGGGAGAGAGGAGATGGGAAGCGGCTAGCCCGAATGAGACAGCTTTGGCAAATAGCTGCTTCCATTAAACCGAACCTCAGCCAGGTGGGAACGGGGATCTGCAGCTCACAGGGGATTTGCTGCATTTAAAAAGGAGCCGGTCATCACGTGTTCCCTTCCAGAGCGTCGCAAACCAGCTCTGACAACTGAGTTGAGATTTGCATCCTTGCTATATAGCATATGCCCGGCCAGGATCCTTGCCAGGGTAAATTACAGCTGTGCTGATGGACAGCCTTGGCTCCAAAGTAGCGTGTGTATGTGCATGTGTGAGAGCGCCGGAGAGACTTACCCAGTAATTAGGACTTGCAGAGATCGGTTTTATTATTTTGGGGAGAATTTGGTGGATGCTTTCCAGCTTTCTGGTATTTCAGTGCTCAAGGCACGGGGCCGCGATGCTGGTCTCAGCTCCTTGAAGCAGGGGGCACGCTCTCATCGCTGGCCTTGTTCTGGTGGGCGAGCGGGATGCCTGGCCGTGAAACATCCCCTTAAAGTCTCTGGGTTTGGGGCTCGCTGATGTTTCGGGGGTGCCGCTGCATTGCCCGCTTGCTGAGACTGTAAACAGGCAGGTCTGTGGTTTTCCTCCTTCCACGCTGACGCGGTGCTCTGCCTTCCTCAGTCAAACCCTCCTGTGCCGGGAGCTCTGGGGCTGGGTCGTGGGTGTGCCGTGCAGTGATGAACAGCATCTCGGACGTCCCTCCCGTGGATCTGTTTCTGGTCTTAGATGGCGAGCTGCTTAGCCCAGGGGTTGGCCTTGGCTCTTTGCATGGGGTAGGGGCTGCTGGTGGAGGATTACGGCAGCTAACACTGGTGTTATAAAAATCATCAGAAATTCGATGATCAGATGATGACGATCTGCATCTTCAACACACCTCGAAGCGCCTAGCATCTTTGAGGTAGCAGGCAGCTCCCACCCCACGACGGAGAAGGGGTGAATGTCCGTCACACGGAGATCCAGGAGCGACTGCCCGCTGTAGACCCGTGGGCTGCCCTGTGCCTGTTGCCACCCCCTCCCTCACCATTTTCGTGGCCAGATTTCACAGGATGAAACCATCCTCATGTCACTGGACCTGCCAGTGGGGTCATTGGCTTGAACTGAGCCCGTTGGCTCCTCCCGAGTCACAGGTGCAGCGTTTTCAAATGACTTGTCGTGGACTTCCCCTCTCTAGGATGAGAATAACACCCTTTAGCTACTGGGCTGTCTCTGGCTTACAGGCAGGCTGCGAGCGCTGCTGAAGTCCGCGGGGAGGCAGTTAGCGCAGGCACCGTGGATGTGATCTGCCTCGTGGCTGCTTTGCAATGCAAGAAGCACCGAGGGACCCGCGGTTGTGCTCCTCAGCCGTGCCTAGGTACGTGCCTTGGTGGAGGAGATGCACCAGAGCCCAGCCCGTGACTGAGACCCCCTGGAAGCCTCTAATTGTGCTGTTTTCCTTCTGCAGCCCTAACGCGGAGCAGGGGGGTTGCTCGCACAAAGTTAAGAAGCACGAGGGTGAAGGCATCCCTTACTCGGTGCCCGAGGGCTTGGCTTTCCTCCGGCAGCTCCCTGTAGCTAGCGCTTGTAGCCCGTGCTGTTGTAATGGCTGAGTGATGCTGTAAAGGCTTTGCTGGTATAATGGTGCCAGGGGAGCCAGATTTGCTCACTCCAGCAGAGATGCAGCTGATCCCTGCAAAAGGAGGTTTGTTGCTGAGACAGTTCACCCATTTGTGCAAACCTCCTCCCCAGGCAATGCCATCTGGATGGGTAGACGGACTCTTGTTGCCAGTACAAGTTGTTTCCATCAGGATGCAGCTGTGTTATTTTTCTTATGCCTATAACTGACACAGCTACACCGCTAATGCTAACCCTCGGTAGTGGAGACCTTGCTTTCAGCGTCGGGGTTTTGAGTCTTGCTAAAATCCTTGCTTGAATAGCGCTACACAGCTCTGAGTTGCACAGAGCCAAGCTCCCCGCTGTGCAAAGAAGACTGTGATCTGCAGAGCTGTTAGGTGTTGTCGCTACTAGAAGCGGCCGATGTTAGCAGCAACCGCGCTTCGGCTCCCCTGATGTGCTGAGCCCTGCCGTGGGCGAGCTGTTCCCCCAACGCAGCACAGCTCGGCGCTGCCTTTTATTTTTGGACGGGGCCAGCTGCAGCCTGCATCAAAGGGGGAGTGGTGGTGGTCCGTAGACGGTAGCTGAAGTTGCACCAAAAGCATTGCGCCATTCCCCATGCACGGAGCAGCTCTTGGCTGTCACGAAGCTCAACGGGTGGGAACTGGGCCCTGGCGCTGATGCATAAACAGGGCCGTGGAAAAACTGATGGCAGGGAAGATAATGGAAAGCAGGTGCAGGGAACCGTTCTCCGCGGCGTGCAGTGTGGTGGGCTTAGGAGCCCGGGCTACCCCATAGGAAACCCATCAGGCCATGCTGTTCTGGTGGGCAGCAAGGGGCTGGGGAGCCTGGCATCTTGCTGGGGTCTCTTCCCCCCTGCTCTGCATTGCCAGCATTTGGGAAAGCGATCCATCCCTTTGGCCCAGATTCAGACATACGTGGCCTGGCCTTCAGAGGAATGCAGCGCTCGCGAGGCCAGCCGACGCCGGAGGTTTCTGAGGACAGGAAGGATTTTGGGAAGGAGAAGGGGTGGGCGGCTAGGTCTGTGCTGCCTACCAGAATGAGGAGCTCGCAGGGGTAGCAGATGGCGAGACTGGGAAGCAGTGCCAGAGCATCTCGCTTGGCTCTGCTGAGACCTTCCCGATTCCTGCTTGCCAGTAAACCACTGACATCAGAGCTGTTTAGTGGGGGCTGGTTGTATTGACAGGTGTTGCTGCCGTGAACAACGGGGGCAAGAGGCAGAGGTCCCACGGCCGGCTCTGCTGTGGATGCTAAGCACGGCCCCCGCACCTCTTCTGCAAGTGAGGGGCTGTCGGGGCAGCGTGGACGTGCTGGTTTGCTGCACGTGTTCTCCGCGGAGGTCTAAGGGTGGCTGGAAGGGAAGTCTGCTGAGTTGTCTCGCCCGTGCAACTGTGGACCATGCGGCTGTAGGGGGAGTGAGTCTTCTTCTCCCCGCGTGCTCTCACTTTGGGGCAAATGATCAAAACCACCCAGGGGGCAGAGAGGCTGCAGTGTGGAGGGGACCTGATCAGATCCCGACCCCACTGATTTGCAGTTGGGAGCCCAAGTACCTTTGCACATCTGGCTCTTAGGTGTCTAAATCCCCTTGACACATAGGTTGCATTTGTAAACAGGACTTGGGCTCAGTGACTTAGGAGCTGTTGAACCCTTTTCCCTTCCTTTCTAGCAGGTGGTCTGGTTTTCCCTTGTCTCCAGCCTGCCACCCTTGGTGTGTGCATAGGCCTTTACAGACCCCATATCTGTGAAAAATGTAGCCCCTCCAGAGCTGACTCCATGACTGCTTGTCTCTGACCAGGATGGAGGCGTCCTGCCTCGAGCTGGCGCTTGAAGGGGAGCGTCTGTGCAAGGCTGGAGACTTCAAAGCCGGGGCAGCCTTCTTCGAGGCAGCTGTGCAGGTGGGGACGGAGGACCTGAAGACTCTCAGTGCCATCTACAGCCAGCTGGGCAATGCCTACTTCTACCTAAAGGAGTATTCAAAAGCCCTGGAGTACCACAAGCACGACCTCACACTAGCCAGGTAAGCGCGCCAGCTCTGAACAAACGCGGCCTCGATCGAAGGCAAGATTGCTGGCATCTGAGCCCGTGAGTGGGGAAGGGGGCCTGGCCAGGAAGCATGTATCCAACAAGAGATCTCGGGTGCCAGGCAAGCAATGTCTTCAGGAAGGTCGGTGCTGCTGCAACCGTCACAGGGCGGTCAGACACGTGGGCTATCGGTTGTCTTTTCTCGCAGTTTCACTTAAGGGCCCTCTGCCGAACTCCCTGTCTGGAGGCATCCGTGCAGCCTGGGCTACCATTGCCCGTGACCTTTCAAGACTGTTAACTTTTGGTAGTTCTCTGGGAGGTGGCTCAAGGCAGGTGTCGTGGTAATAGCCATGGGAACCAGTTGAGCATCCTTGAGCCTGCCCCACTTCTCAGGACTGCCTGATTTGAACCCCACGATCCAGGATTTTCATAGGCTCCAACCCAGCTTGTAAGCACACCTGTTTGTGTGCACAGGGGTAAGGCTGAATTGCACGTGTAGCAGCTTCATGCAGGATAGTTGAAGTCGCAGGTTTGAGGGCAGTTCAGGGGCCTGTTGGAAACCTAGCCTGCCTTGATCCCTCTTAATCCAGCAGGCACCTTTAGAAACTAGGTATGCTCTGTCTGCAGCTAGTTAGATTATTGTAGTGCCTGCAAATCTTCCCCTCTCTGCATAGAGGTGATATCCCAGCACGGGGGCAGAGGCGAGCCGTGCAGCTCCAGAGCCCAGATTCCTCCAGACACGGTACAGGAGCTGTGCCCTGGATGGGCGGCTGGACATGCCCCCCTCTGCCCTGCAAAGCACGTGATCATTGTACCACGTTGTACCAGCTCTGAGAAGAGCTGATGAGTCTCGTGGGCACCCTGTCCAGCCCTCCCCAGCTGAGAGGGTCTGGGGAAAGGCTGGTCCTCTCCAGTGCGTGGAAAAATTGGTCTTCTCTTGCAGAACCATCGGGGACCGGATCGGAGAGGCCAAGGCCAGCGGCAACCTCGGGAACACATTGAAAATCCTCGGGCAGTTTGATGAAGCTATCGTGTGCTGCCAGAGACACCTGGATATATCTCAGGAGCAGGGAGACAAGGTAAGGTCGGCACTGTTCGGTGGGGAATACTTCTGTCATGTGTCTGGCTGCGTCTGACTGGCAGTTTTTCACCAGCGAGGCCTGTCACTGGCCATATCATGGGGACACAAGTTTAGGGCTGCAGCATGTCAGGAAGGAGCACGGTGGGATAGCTGATGCTGTCACTGCTCATCCCCTTGGTTGTTTTTCCCCAAGGAACTGGACCAAGACCACCAGGCAGCCAAGAGATGAGCCTGGAGGCCTCCCATCTCCCTCCACATCCCCGTTCTAGAGGGTAGAGACATGGGTTTTAGTCCTGCCTGCTATAAGACCTTGGGCAAGTCACCTTGGCTCTCTGTGCCTCGGTTTCCCTGTCTGTAAAATGGGGCTAGTGGTATTGCCCACCTTTGTGAAGTGCTTCAATTTCTACTGGGGAGAAGCCCTGCAGAATTGCCAGGGGATAGCAGTCAGCACCCTGGGCTCTCTTTGGCCTGCTAGTCATACCTTTTGGACAGTCCCTGGGCATCCTCTCATCTCTCTGGCTGGGCTTCTTGAGGAGGCTGCCGTGGTCTGGCTTTGGGCTGCTGCCTTTGCCTTAAAGCAGGAAGATGGCGTGTTGTGGAGCATAACATCCATTGCCCTGCAACATTTGTGCTTCCTTTCCAGGTAGGGGAAGCCCGAGCGCTGTATAACATTGGCAACGTTTACCATGCCAAAGGGAAGCAGCTGTCTTGGAGCGGGGCCCAAGACCCAGGCTACTTGCCTGAGGAAGTCAAGGAGACGCTCCAGAAAGCTTCAGAGTATTATGAGTAAGTACCAACCTGCCCGTCCCTTCCTCCCTTGGCAGGGGATGGGGCCGCCCGGAGCTGGCGGCAGCAGCAGGACCTTGAGGCTGGGATCATGCAGGAGCAAACCCAGCAAGCCTCCGGCAGGCCATAGCGCTCCGTTAGGTGCGTACCCTAATTGCTCCATTTCGGTGCTGGTCTCCGGACCCCTCTGGGGAGCTGCGTGGGGATGGCCAGGCTGATGATACCCTCCTCTGGGCCAGGACTAGGGAGGAAAGGGTTTGGACCCTTTCTCGATAGCTAAGAGGTTTCCCGTTGCTGAGGAGGGAGAGAGGAAGCCGGGAGTCAGGGCATGAAGATTTCTTGAGGGCTGTTTGAGAAGCTTTGGTGAATCACTCACAGCCTCGTGGGCAGACGCATCGAGCCCTTTTGCATCCCACTGGAAAGGATGTGGCACCTCTAAAGATCCAGCCATTGCCTCAGTTTCCCTAGCATGGGCAGTCTCTGTGGATCTTCTTTAGACTCAAGGGAGCCCTTTTGAATAAGGCTCTGTATTCAGCGTGAGGATAGTACCACACTGCTGCCTCGTCCCTTCTGTGTCTGTAGTCGTGTGCAGCCCTCGCTTCCAGGCATGGAGCCATTTTGTCCTGTTTGGAGTCCCTACCACAGACCGGAGGCGCTGAAATCAGGATGGGGATCCAGGTCCAGCTGAATTAGCTTTCGCTGGGCAGGATCTCTCTGCAAACCCCACTTCCAGCCACAACATCAGAGAATCGTACACAATGAGGGTGGGAAGGGACCTCAGGAGATCCCATCTATCTCAGCCCCCTGCTCAGAGCAGGACCAGCCCCAACTCCATCATCCCAGCCAAGGCTTTGTCTAGCCATGTCTTAAAAACCTCCAAGGATGGAGAGTCCGTCACCTCTCTGGGTAACCTGTTCCCGTGCTTTACTACCGACCTCATGAGATGTTTTTCCTAATATCTAACCTGAACTTCCCTTGCCGCAACTTGAGCCCATTGCTCCTTGTCCTGTCACCTGCCCCCACTGAGAACAGCCCAGCTCCATCCTCTTTGCGACCCCCTCGCAGGAAGTTGAAGGCTGCTATTAAGTCCTCCCTCAGTCTTCTCTCTTCCAGACTAAATAAGCCTGGTTCCCTCGCAGTCCAAGGTGGCTCAAATGCAGGAGGGCTTCAAGAGCATCGTAGAGCTCGGTCTTAGCATAGGGAAGGGCTCCATAGCTGGCTGCGAATGGAGCCAGCCACGCTCCAGCAGCAGATGCAGCAATAGTCAGCACCCATCCTGGAGCCCCTGGAGTTTGTCCATTAAGCACAAGAGCTTTGCTGTGTATGGTCATGAGCTGCGTGTGTTGATGGCTGCTCTACCAAACACATGCAGAGTCAGGGCATGACCAAAGGCAATGCTTTGCACACTGGTGCCTGTGGCTGGCATCTCTTTCTCTCCCAGAAAGGCTGCAAGGGGGGGAGCTGTGTCTGCTCCGGGGGTGGAACCAGTTGGGTCTGCTCAGCAGCTGAGGATTAGAGAGCCCCAAATGCCACACAGACTGTTAAGCTCACCTGCTCCCTAGCGTGGCAGCCAAATACCTCAGGGTCCAGCTGGCAGCTGCATGGGAACGAGCAGCCAGGCAGCACCACCATGATTCACACACAAAGATGGGCCAGCCTTGTGCACCAGAGGCATGTGCTGCTGAGCTCTCCGCTGCTCCCTGCTTCCCTGGCTGGCCATGGTTTTACCAACCAGCGTGCTTTTCCCAGGGCTGCGGTGCTGCGATTCCAGGCACCGGGCAAAGGCACGCTTGCAAATGACTCTCTTAACAAAATGTCCTTCTGGGAAGTTTTATTCCAACACGGGCCCACGAGTTCCCTCGTGGTGCTGGGGCTATAGGTCGACCCATGAGGCAGGCTGCAAAGTCCACCCCCCCAGCCTCTTCCCTTTGCAAGTAGCTGTTCTTCCAGCCCGCGCTGGAGCGTGCCCCTGGAGGTGTCGGACCTGGTCGTGGAACCGCAAGCAGGGACTTTCCTTCCCCTCCGGTGTGGGGGAAACCCCCTGTCTGGGGCAGGGCATGCAGGGTCCCCATGGGCTGTCAGTGCCGAGTTCTCAGCCATTGCAGCCTGTCTCATGGCAGCCCCATGCCATTTCCAAATCGATTCACTCACCTTGTTGTGTGCTGGAAGGTGGCTGCCAGGTTGGCTTGGGGCATGCTTTTCTCCCCCTTCTTGCAAGCTACGGGCTTGACTTGGATAATGCGTGGTTCGCTCGGGCCAGCCAGGAGCAGATGCACCCCTCCCTTTGCTTTCACGCTGCGTCTCTCGGGCTGAGCGTGACCAGGCGTGCCCCTTTGCTTTGCTGCAGGAGAAATCTGTCTCTGGTGAAGGAGCTGGGGGACAGGGCCGCACAGGGCCGTGCCTACGGCAATCTTGGCAACACCCAGTACTTGCTCGGCAACTTCAGCGAAGCCATCGCTTTCCACAAAGAGGTAGGAGAGAGCTGGTGGGTTGGGGTGTGGATGCTTGGCCAAGCCGATGTTTGCTCCAGTGCATCTGGAGGGTGCAGTTGTCCCTGTAATGAGGGATGAGGTGGTGGTCGGCTGCGGGCTGTGCTGTACCACGTGCTCCCAGGGCAGTAGCTGGTCCCTGTCCGAAGGCACGGGGAGCGGCACCGACTCCACCAGGGATCCCCGCAGAGTCGGCAGGAGGAAGCTGCCTCTCAGGAGGTGCTGTGGGATGGGGACATTGCGGGTGAGGCTCAGCGAAGGACCCAAACCCCAGTCCCTAGAGGGACCAGCAGCCTGTGGAAGACCTGAAGTCAGGGACCAACAGCTGGACTCTTCTTGTTCCTGGGAACCATCCCGGTGGGCTGGGAGTGAGACCCCTTGGTGGGACCGACAAGATTTGGGGGACGGGGACTTTCCGGCTCCCAGGGCCACCAGCTTTCCCAAGCAGGAAACAACCTTGATGGTGAGAGCCCCAGCCTGCAAGCCCTGTGTGCGGACTGGAGAGATGCGCAGAGGTCTCCATGGTGATAAATAAGCCGGCGGAGAGCAAAACAGGACAGGGCTGGTCTGTTTTACGTTGTGCTGTGCAGGCGTGCTCAGCCGCCGGAGGAGATTGCTGCCCAGCCCCGCTCCCTTCCCGGCGGGGCAGGCAAGGACCTCTCCGGCTGGGCCAGGGGTTTGCAAAACAGAGTGGTTCCCCGAGGAGTGAAAGGCAGACGTAGCTGGGACCAGGCTTCCCGAGCAGAGATGTCTTGGCCATCACCCGGCTGAGGGGCACAGGGCTCGCCGCTTGGCACGGCTGCTGGGAAAGCCTCGCGTGTCCTCGGCTTGGGAGCAGAGCCGCTCCTGCAAAGAGCAGCTTCAGAAGCCTCGGGCGCATTGTGCGTGACCTGGCAACTCTCCCCTGTTCTTAATTTTAATTAAGGCCAACAATGTATTTAATTAAGCAGCTGAGACAGCTTCTGAGCAGGAGCAAATGTTTTTATTAAGGGTGGCAGATGTCGGCAGTGCCTCAAAACAGCCTGGATCATCTTGTGGCACAGACAGGGCCCAGCTCACCTGATGGGAGCAATGGGGGCACCGTGCCCCCTCCTGCTTCCATCCCAGAGCAGCGCACCAGGCATCGAGGCAGGGGCAGCAGTGCTTGGGGTCTGCAGGAGAGGGGCCTGGGAAGCTGCCCCCAGCCCTGAAGACAAGCGGCGAGGCAGGGGACAGTGATGGGAGAAGGTGGAAGCGAGCTAGTGCATAACCGAGGCCTGGGCTTGGTGGGAGCTGGGCAGAGGCTGGGAGGAAAGAGGCAGCCCATGATGGTTTCACGCAGCGGGCATGCATTCAGGTGATACAAGGCCTCCCGGGTCTTTGCAACCAGTTGCCTGACTGCATCACTGGTGGAATTGGGCTCTGCCTTCAGCCTAGCACTTAATGTGCTGTGCACAACCGCGGAGGGGCTGCCTACCTCCCGCTGTCCCTGCTCCAGAGCCTGGCAGCATCGGGGCCCCAGAGAGAGGGTGCTGATGGGCAGCAAGTATGGGGCACGCGTAGCAGAAGCCGCAGCCGCTGGGTTGGTGTCGGACCTGTTCTCATGGATCCGTGTGTGACCGTTTCAGCGCCTCGCCATCGCCAAGGAGTTTGGGGACAAGGCGGCCGAGAGGAGAGCGTACAGCAACCTGGGCAATGCGCACATCTTCCTCAGCAGGTTCGACATCTCGGCGGAGTACTACAAGTAAGTGCCCGGCTGCCTGGGGGGAGCAGGGACCCGGCAGGCTGGGAGGTTGCAATCTGCCGCAAGGAATCCACAGGCTTCAGTCGCCACGGCTCAAGTATGAGCCACAAATACACATGTGTGAAGAGCTGCCGTGTGCTTCAGGGAGAGCTCATGGGGAGCGGGCTCCGAAATGCCTCCTATTGCCATCTGCTGGCCATCCCCGCCCCTTTCCCATCTCCAGACTGCTGGGAAGAAAGGCTCCTTCCTTGCATGGGTTCGTCTGGGTGAGCTTGTGCCCCGAGCACTCCTGCCATTTCACGCTGGGCCGTGACTCCCTGGCTGCTCTGGACTCTCGCAGCCGTCAGGGTTGCTTCTAGGCTGGATTGGCATAGGCAGCGATGGGCAGTTTCAGCTGAGAGCTGTGCAGGGTGATGCAAGGGGCTGAGCGGCTATGGCAGGGACTGGGCTGAGAGCCTGCCTTCAACCAGGCACATGCCTGGTTTACAAGCACAGAGGGAGGAATGAGCAGGTCATCCTCCTTCCTTAGGGTTTAACCTTCCTGATAATAACTGCAGTTCCTGACAGTTGATGTCCACTTCCCAGGAACTAGCACTTGCTGGGGACTGTCTTGATACACAGAGTGAGGACTGACTGGATCAGAGACTAAACTACCGTGCTTTGCACCTCAGCAGAGTCCCCCCAAAGCCAGACTGCAGTGCCAGGAGTGCCTCTTCAATTATAAAGCAGTGCTGCCCGCTCTGGGAGGGGAATAGTCTTCCTTCAGGAGCAGGTTTATAACCCAAAAGCCACTTGAACAAATTCAAGGTGCGATGGAAACCAGCCACAGAAACGTTCCACGTAATTTGTGGAATGTTTTTGTAGCTGGTTTCTTCTTTTGTTGCATCGTTAATATAAGTAATATATCATTTTAATACTAATTAAATATTAATATATTTTGATTTCCTGGATGTGGCAGGTTTACTATTTATGGAATGATTAACAGGTTAATTGTACCCTAACTGTAACATCTGCCAGGGCCCCTGAGTCACAGGGCCCTTTCTCCAAGGGGCACAGAGGAGGAGAAAAAGACATCAGCCAACTTTTACAGGGGGCATTTTTTTGCATAAAGTAGGCCCTTCTAGCTTTTTCTGCCAGCTTGCAGATGCCCACCATGAACCTGCTGTGTCTTCATGCAGGAAAACCCTCCAGCTGTCCAGGCAATTGAAAGACCAAGCGGTAGAAGCTCAGGCTTGCTACAGCCTTGGAAACACCTACACGCTGCTCCAGGAGTACGAGAGAGCCATCGAGTACCATCTAAAGCACCTGCTGATTGCACAGGAGCTGGGCGACAGGTACGGGGCTTGGGCTGGTACTTTGTGAACGTGGTGGAGGTAGCCTCTTGCCCATGAAAAAAAAGTATGAGCCTCTGCTGCAAGAAGGTTCATTGCAGTCATTGCTCTGTCTCTGCCGTGGCTGCTGCTGATCCCTGTGCCCTCGTCTTGGGCACCTGCAGGGGAACAGAAATAGCGTCCCACTGAGAGGGGCTGGACTGAACAGCCCCACGCAGCAGGAGCTCTGAGATGCTGCCGGAAGGTCCCTGCTGATGCGATGAGAAGTGCTGTGTGGGAATGCGCGGTGTGTCAGCTGGCACAGCTGGGGCCAGGCATCCTCTTCCCTGCATAATCACCTCTACCTCTGTTATATGTTTTGCCCCTGCCCGGCAGGAAGCTTTATCCATCCGCCTGAATATTTGCATGCCAGGCTTCCAGTTTCTTGCATCTCATTAACTGAGCTAGTCCGGGGGTCTGCCCAAATGACCCACTTTCAACTTCAGATAGATGCAGGCAGCTGGAGGTGCAGCTTAGCACGTGGCAGAAGATGCAAGGGAAGCCAGGGAGAATTGGCTAGAAGAAGTGAGACTCCCAGGACAGATGAGGAAATAGCCAGCCAAGAGGAGGGTAGAGCTTAGTGGCCTCTCGTGTCATCAGATGGCCTGGGCACATTTGTTCAGTGTGGGCAGCGAGTTCAAGCACCCGGTCTCAGGGATGGCCAACCCAAGCCGCTTTCAGCCTTCATCAGGGCTGGACATTTGTGATCCACATGATGTCAGGGGCACAGCAGGTGCTGGGCCCTTTCTGGAAGTCAGGCCTGAGCTGCACATCTGAAACCAGGGGCCGCATTTGAACATGATTGCGGGCACCTGGGCTTCTTCAGCTAGTTGTTAGAGAAGCCACTGGGGAGATCAGGACTCTGTGCTTTGCTCTGGACTCCTGTGGGTGAGTTTTTCTTCTTCTTCTTACCTCTGCAGTCCTGTTTCAGAGAAGAGAAAACTCAGATTTTCCTGGCTGGAGTAGTTGTGAAAATGCCTTATTGCTGGTAGTGCAGCGTGAGTGTTTTGGGCGAGAAGGGAAGAAGGGGACAGAGAAAGTGAGCTGGGGATGGCTTCCTTGTTGAAATCTCTCCAGTCTGTCTGGCTGTGGTGTGGTCCCTAGAGACATGATGGAAGGACCGCCCTGGATGCGGTGCTAGGGACTCCTTTCCCTGGTGGGCGCTGGGATCCGTCCTTGAAACCTAGACTGGACGGCAAACTCAGCTGTGCTTCGGGAGCAATTTTGTGCTTCTGGGAGGACAACGCAGTGCATCTAGATAGGGCTTTGGGGCTAATTATGTAGTGAAAATGCTAATAACTGCCCCCCCCTGCAAAGTGTGAGCCACTGGGGTCCTCCAACTCTTGCCACTAGATGGAGCAAAGACATTAAAATGGAAGCTCTGCCCAGGCAGGAACAGAAATCCTCTTGCATCGGGTGCTGGTGCCCGCAGCTTGCTGGTACTTTGCAATGAAGGGGGACAGTTGTGCCCGCAGGAGGTGGTGGGCACAGTGTGGGGAGCACCCCTAGCCGTTCAGATTAAAACCAGCAGCACTGAAGCAAATGCTTTAGAGATTCCTTATAAACCCACAGCATGTGCCCAAAATGAGTGTGCATGGCTGCGAGCAGTTTGCATGGGCGGACTGGCAAGCCAAAGTGATTGCCGGCCGTGCAGTATTCCTGCACCTGCAGTCAGGGGGCACAGAGGGGCTGCTTGCAGGGGGAGGTTTAACTGAGATTAGGCAGGCTCCAGTGGCCCGTGGATTCCCCCCGACCTGGTTCAGCCCCTGGCTACCTGCCTCCCTGCTGCACGTGCCTCTCAGTGCTGGTTTCCCACCCCCCTGCTTCCCAGGACTGCTTACCCTGGCTTGGAGGGCAAGGAAATGTCGGGTATCTCTGGCCAGAAGCCTTTGGGGCAGCTTGGAGAGCAGAACGAGTGAGAACTTGCCCTCCAAATGCAGCACTGAGATGAGAGCAAGGCTCCGGCAAAGTTGAACCTTGCTCCTTGGGAAGCTGGTGAGGGGGGAAGAGGGGTTTCTCCCCTCAAGCTGCTGTCAGGCGTGACCCTAGAGGCCAGAAAGGCCCCGAAAGCGTTGGTGGCTTTCTTCCGCTGAGCCTTGCACAGAACGTCTCTGGATGCTGGTTTCCTGTTTTGCAGAGTGGGAGAAGGAAGAGCCTGCTGGAGTCTCGGAAATGCCTACATCTCCCTGGGGAACCACGAGCAAGCCCTGCACTTTGCACAGAAACATCTTGCAATATCCCAAGAGGTAAGATGAGCCAGTGCAGATCAGAGGCAGCTAGACCTCCTGGCTGGGAGGAAGCCATTTATTATGCCAATCAGCTCCGCTGCTGGAATTGCCCTTTTCCGGCAGTTATTGGTATTGAAAGCATCCATCATGCGTGTTGTTGAAAGGCTATCTTTAGGATTTGCAGAGGAAAGCTGGAAAATCTCTCTTTCCTGGGGGACCCGCAGGCTGTGTCTCAGTCTTTATCTCGTGTTCACTGTAACTGGATAGCTCAGCCCTGGGGCTCTCTCAGCCTGATGCCTGGGCGGTGATTGCTGGGACAGGGAGACAAGAGGGGCTTTGCTAAGCTGCTCTGCATTGACGGGTCTCATCCTCCTAGAAGCACATGGGTCCAACCTCCTAGTAAAACACCAACAATTGGAGGGGGGGGTTTGGTGATTTTCTTGGCTGAGAACAGTGAGTGCCCGACTCGGGGCTGGTGCCAGGCTTTTCTGGTCTGAAAGTCGTGGGGAGCCCCTCAGAAGCCAGTTCTGCTGAGACTTGCGGCCGGGGTTTAGGACAGAAATCCAGCAGAGTAGGGCAACGGGCAGGCCAGGCTTTGACTTGCTTGTCTGAGCCAAATTTAACAAAGTCTTCCCTGTCTCTGAACAACACGGAAAGGCCAGAAAAAGGCTTCGCTCACGTGGCTTGAGTGCAGCTCTGCGCTTGTAGAAGCTGCTTCTTGAGGCTTAAAAGAAAACTAGCAACAAGAAATGGCTGCTGACCCAGTGCCAGCCTGAGAACGTGGCCAAGGCTTTTTCCTCGGCTAAAAACACTGGTCCCCTTCAGACCTGGGCAGACTGAACAGAGGATGGCAGTGGAGTTTCAGCCTCTTTGCCCTGCATCTGAATTGGCTTGTGGCCTGAGATGCGGGCTGACGAGGTTCTTGCAATGCCCTTGCTTTTTTCCTATATCTAGCAACATCGGTGTGAACCCGCCATGTAGACGTACGCAACCAGGGTTAAACCTTTCGTATAGGGATGTAATGGTCCTGATTTAATCTAAATCAGCATCATCGAGGGTTGTGCTGCTTGCAGCCTCTCCCCATTTGGGCTTTGCACTAATGAAACCAGATCAGCACTAATAATAGGCTGGGTGACATGCATGCAACTTGTCTAATCTACGCAAGGCCTGAGGCTTTTCAGGTAGCTCAGCGAGAGAGAGACAGCCAATGTGCTTTGCAGCGGACCTTTACGGTTTGTTATAAGGAAATTAGCCCTGGCCTCTTTATTATCCCCCACAAGGAAATTGCCCTTTTAAAGCACTGTAATGGAAACCACCATTTGTAAGCGCTTAGTGCATTCTCTTGCCCTCATCTATTAGCGTGGCTAAGTCTTGGGGAAGGGCTAACATGCCAGCCCAATTATGCACTTAATTATACTTGTCAGCCATTCAGAAGAAAAGCTGCTCGTCAGCCCCGTGCATTGTAGGACAAATTAACTTCTCGGCTTTCGGTTTGGAGCCTGCTAGTGTGGGTCTGATTACTCAGAGCCAGATGGAGGCTCAGCTGCTGGCACTGCAGATGAGAGGGGATGGGAAGACGGGAACAATAGGAGCTCCGGCTGCTGCTGGGGGTGGAGGGGAAGCCTTTTGGGGATTCACAATGCTGTTCGCCTTGGGGTGGATCAGGCTGATTACAGGGCATCATTGGGAGCCGGTTACTCATGGCAGGTGGCTGATCGTCTCCCCCCACTCCACACTGTTAAATCGGGAGTGGTGTTGAGAACCAGAGGGCAGGGATTTGTTCCTAGCGTGAGCCATTGCTGCATAGCATCTTCTGTAGAGATCGGCTGGTTTCAGACACAGCTTGGTCCCGTCATGGCCAAAGAGAGCCCGGCACATGCTGCTCATCCTGGGACCCCTGCCTCTGTCCTCTGCCCCTTGTGCCACTAGCTGGAAAGTTGAGGGCAGCATCTGGGAGATGAAGGGGTTTTGTCGGAGCAGAAGCTGCAGTCCCGCAGGCACGAGGCCAGGATTCAGGGTCGTGGGTCTGTGCCCAGGTGGAGGAGGTGGCCGGGAGCAGGAAGCACAGAGCTGAGGGTGATGCCATGTGTCCTTTGCAGCCCTGTGCGTGGTTTTTGGTTGATCAATCAACCTGCCTTCCTGCTCCCTGCCCCATAGCACAATGGTGAGTGCAGAGCTGCCTTGAGTCCTCTCTCCTGGGCCTGTCTGCGCAGGGTCTGCCGTGAGAGGCAGCACAACCCCTTGGCAAAGGACAAGCTCCATGCAGCCGTGCCAGGGGCCAAGGCAGGAGAAGTCCCATCCCCTGGGCTGTGCCCTCCACTTTGTGCATGAAAACAGGCAGTCCTCTCCCCCTAGACTGGAGATCGCTTTGAGAGGGGAGCAAAGCCACGGCTCCCCAGGGGAGCTTGGGCTCTGCTTCCTGGATGGAGGCATCTTCCTGGTGGTCTGAGTGGCCTTTGATTCCTGATGTGCTGTTTTCTTAGCCCTCCAGCCTGCCCACCCCGTGCCTTTGCCTGTCTGCTGAGTCCTGGGCTCTCCAGGGCAGGACGGTTGTCTCTCCCACTTCTGCGCACAGTCCCTAGCAGGATGAGGCCCTGATGGAGGTGTCCGGGCACTGGCATGGTGCACAGAATCAGCAAATTGAGCTCCGCGGGGCTCTCCTACCTCTTATAAAGCAGGGGATTGTGACCCCAAAGAAAGCAGGCCAAGCTCAACCCAAGGAGAGGCCAGCACATAAGCTGCTCCAAGCAGATTTTGCTAAGTGTCTTGGCAGAACGCCTCTGTCTGAGGGACCCGGTCCTCTAAGAAACCCTGTGACCGGTGGCAGTCGGCAGCCTTTAACCTGGTGTCTGAAGGACTCGGGGCCTGACCAGAACCTGGTCGGTCCTCTGAGAGTGTGTCAGCAGCCGCCCAGACTAATTGGCAGAGGATTGTTGCCTGCCTGGAAGCTGTCTGATCTCCCTGCCTTCAGTGGCATTCAGCGCCTTGTCACAGATAACACGGGGATTGATGATGTTGTTTTTAAGATGGCTCAGACCCCGGAGGCTATCTCAGCGAACCACAAAGCCAGCCCTTGCAAGGCATTTAACAAGGAGGTCGTGCCTCTCCTATGGGACGGCCAAGGTCTCTCCTTCCAAGAGAGACCACTATTTTCTATAAAGATTTGAGGCTGAGATGTAGCCTGTTCCCCTGTGTACCCGGGGAGGGGGTGGTTCTTACCTGGACCGCTCAGAGCTTGGGGTGGGAGCGCAGAAGGGCAGCGGGGCTGGCTGGGATGGCGTAGTTCACGTGCACTTGGCAAACCTTTGCTGGAAACTGGTTGGCGGCTGTTTCACTGCAGGAAGGGACTTGCTTTTACAAGATCACTGTCTTCATCAAAATAACACAATCCCACTGGAAGATTTATCCCCTGAACTGACCTCTGGGTCTGTATTGGCTGGACTAGTTGCACAGAAGTCGCACATACCTAGATGTGTTAGGGTTTCACACAGAGCCGTCTGTCTTGATGCAAAGATGACACCGTATTGGTGCAGCGGGGACCTCACCTGCATTGAAGAGCATTTAGGGGACACCAGCAGCTTTGGACAAATGCGTGACACTTGTCACATAGCTGCTGGCAGGACTCTTCTTTCGCAGGGAAAAGAGAGCAGCATCTAGGGCTTTCTCAGGGCAGGCCACAGAAAGGTCTAGGGGAGACACAAGTCCCACCGAAATCCCCCTGGCCTGGCTATAAACCTGTCCCTCGGCCAAACTGTGTTTCTGGCTGGTGTATCTGTGTCTAATTTCTGTGGGAAGCCAGGACTTTTAATAGCATCAGTCCTTTACGTAAAGAACAGGCAGTCCGGGTCCAGGCGTGAAACGTCCCAAAGGAGCAGCTCCGGACCCCCGCCTGTCGGGCAGCTCAGCGCAGTTGTCGGAGCAGGTCCTGTTCCTGGCTGACGTGCTGCTGGATATCATCATCATCAGGGAGGACGGCGGACTCGGGGCGCGGAGCCAGGCTGGAATTATTCCGGCGCATCCCAGCCCTGCTTAATTGCCGGAGCTGTGTATGCAAGCCCCGGCTGTGACACAGATGCACGGTCTGTTCAGCTGTTCGTTGAGCGGCCGTCTGGTGCTCAGTAACTATGGCAATTTTCGAGCAAGGGGGCTGGGATTGTCAGGGCCCTTTGCCAGTCCCAGGCTTTTCCTCCCCGGCCTGTTCTGCAGCCTGAGGGGAGGCAGGTCCCCGCACAGGGGAAACTGGGCTCTTCAGGAGCGAGTTGGCAGGTACAGGTGACGCAGCCTTTTGCTGTTGGAGCCGGCACATTTGGCAGCAGCTGCTGCCATCTTGACTGGGAAGAGAGACGTCTGAGGGGTTCGCTTGCTCGGAGCTGGCTCTCACCCAGCGCTCCGGCATGGGGTCGGGAGAGAGCTGTGCTGTGTGGCTGCTGTTGATGCTAATCCTGGCCCCCGGCACTGCAGCATCTCTCCATCCTTGATGGCTTCCTCAGTTGTGCTAGGTGCTGTGCAAAAGCAGAAGCATGATCATCCTTCACTCGCCCGCCTCCTGTGCCAGACTTAAGGGGCGACTGAACCCCTGATCGTTGCTGTGATGGTGGTAGTGCCTCGCAGGCTAGTCAGTGTGCTAGTCCCTGCTTTGGTGCAGAAATGAGATCCCACCTCCGTCCCAGAGAGCTGCCGTGCCCGTAGGCAAGATGGCAAAGGGTGGGTCAGCTTGTCAAGTCCAAAGTCATCCCCGCATCGGTGGCAGGGCTGTGGTTAGCATGCTGACCTCTCCTTTCCAGCGCCTGGCCAGGCCACGCTCAACCCAGGGCCCAGGGGAATGCAGCACAGGACCAAGAGTGATGACGACAGGTGGCTGAGCTGCCTCGCGGGGAGGAGAGGCCCTACCCCTCGCTCGGCTCCTGCTGTGGGGCTGGAAGCCCCTTTTATTGGGATGCTGGCTGGCGGCACGCTGCCGTTTCATTGCACCCTGTTGCCTTTGCTCTGCAGATCGGGGACTGGAACGGGGAGCTGACGGCTCGCATGAACATGGCCCAGCTGAAGACCGCCCTTGGCATGGTGCTGGGCGACGAGGATGGAGACTGCGCCCATCACTACACTGGCTATGAAGCGCAAGGTAAGGCTTGCCTCGCCTCCCAGCATGGCCTCGGCTAGCAAGAACTCCCCGCTGTCCCGCAGGGGCCTGCACAGCCTCTGGCTGAGGATTGGGCATGCTTGTCTGGGGGGCTCTGGTTAATATTATCCCTTGGGACAATCTGCATGGCTGGCTGGGGGGCCTGGGCTCCCTTGCTCTGAGGCAGGTGCTGCAGCCAGCTCCCCCAAAATCGGATGCTGCTCAGAGAGCTGCTGACTCCGAGCCACGGCAGCATCCTGCAAACATGCCCTGGTTCAGCGCGGCTTTACTGGCACGGACGCACCTCGCCAGCCGGCGTCCTTGTTTTCCCTCCGTTGGCAGCCTGGGCTCGAGGGGCACCGTGCGCCCGTCTGCGCGGGTGGCTCAGGGAGCCAGGAGGAAGCCGGCGGAACTGTTTGCTTAGCGTGTTGATTTTGAAGGTGTAGCCAGTAGCTGAAATGCAGCTGCCCATCTAGAGCTGCCACTGCTGAGCTGGGAGCCACGTGGAGCCCGGCTGCCATCCCAGTGCCAGGCAGAGCCTTGGCCCACAGGGCTGCTCCCTCATCGCAGCTGTGGCAGTAGCTGGTTGATTAGCTGCTGCCCCGTTCCACAGTCCCTGACTCCTCCTTAAAAGCTCCTTCCCTCGGGCAGGCGTGTGGGTTGCAAGCAGAGACTGGGTCACTCTGGACACTGGCTTGGCTGCTCTGTCTCTGCTTGGCACTTGCTTCCCCCCGAGCTGATGTGACCTTCCCTCCCACCATGCTCATACCCATTGCTTCCCCTCTGGAGGAAGCTGCCAGCAAAGACCTGCCTCAATGCCCTTTGCAAGGCCCAGGAGGGGTCTTCTTTCACCTCCCAGCATCCAGAGACCGGCCCCCCCGAGACATGAAGCCAGCATGCGAAGGGTTGAGACTTTTTTTTTTCTTTTGGCAAGAGCAAAGGGAGTTGGGGGGAGATGGTGATGAATTGTTCCTGCAGACAAGAACTGGGGAAGGGCAGGCAGCTCCTGGACCCCTCAGCCCTGCCCCTAGCCCCACGTGGTCCCCAGTTCCCGGGGAAGGAGGTAGTGGCACAAACCAGGGGGCACTGCTTGTGCAAGGCTTTTAAGGGTTATAATGACCTCATTCATCAGTGGTGCCATCGATCGGGCTGCCAAGGCCAGGCTTGTTCTCCACACAAGCACAATGTGTTCTCCAGGGCCGGGTGACAGAGCCTTGCTCCCGGGGAGGGAGAGCCAGGCCTGAGATGACCGGCGGACACTTTCCTAGCAAAGCATGGCCTGGCAGGCCAGCTGGAGCTTGGAGGGGCTTGCCCCAGGCTCCCCAGATGTGCCCGGGAGGGGAGGTCAATGCCCATTCTCTTCCCGTGACGTGGAGGTGACTGTGGCATGGGTCAGTGATGCTGGAGCCTGGGTGAGATGTGGCAAGGAGGCTCTGAGCAGGTCTCCGGTTATCTGAGATCAAGCAAGCTTCACTGTGAGAATAAATCCATGCCTTCTCACCCGGTTCTGAGCCCTGTGCCCCAGTGCTCTCTTGCAGGAGAGCATAGGAAGATAGTTGCAGCTATATGTGGCATTGTATGGGGATATACAGCATTGTATGTTGCTTCCTTATTTTGGGATATACGGCATTGTATGTTGCTTCCTTTCAAAGCTCCACGGGGAGTTTTGCTCGCGGTTCTGGTAAACAGCTGCAGTCAGGCTCCACCCCAGACCTAGCTGCATTTCAGCAGCGGGTGAAAGATCAGCAAACCCAGCCTGGGTTCAAGGCATGCCCTCGAGCCCCAGACCAGATGAGAGCTGGAAGTTTCTCCACCTGCCCTCTGCTACTTGTGTTCAGATGCATGAGTTTTGCACAGCCCCGTTCCTCCATTGGGGTTTGTAGGTGTTAGTAAATGTGGCTATGTATAGGCAGCCATAGAAACCTCTTTTAAACAAGGTCAGTTAATAAATGTGTGTTAAAGCTGGGGAAGAATAACCTTGCCCTGCAAGGTAGTGCCCAGAGCGGGTAGAGTAAATGATGATTGCGCTATGCACAACTGCGCTCTGTTTGGGCTTCCTGCGTATGTGCGCGCGCCAGAGTAGCAGTATGGATGTCAGAGGCGAGGGAAGGATTGCCTTGTACTGCAAGTGCAGGGATTGTAGCCAGGACCCCTGGGCTCTCTCCTTGGCTCTTAGACCATCTCCCTGCTTCTACGTGAAATTGGTGCACAGAGGAGGTTACTAATGACTCTGCTCTCTGGGGCTCACTCAGGCTCATTTAGTGGTTCCAGGGCACTTTGGGACCCTCTGATGTGCCTATTAAATAATAAAAGCATTGCTATTTATTATGGATAGCAGCAGGGGAGCAGCTGGCTCTGCAAGGGGAAGCGGGTGAGAGAGAGACCTGCCGTTCTGGTGACTTCTGGGCCAAGCCTGTTGTCGGGTGTCGGTAAATCAAACCCTCTGCCCTTTCCTCTTCTCCACCCTGCTCCTGGTTACGGTTATTTCACAGCTGCCAATTCATGTGGATGCTGAAACCAGCTGGGGGCCGTGGGAGAGCAGTGCTAGAAACATCCCCGCGCGATGCAGAGGGATGCGACTTCCAGGCCCCTCGCGCGCATTGTGCATGTCAGCCTCAACGCATAGACGCTCGGTGCAAAACACCAGCCCGTTGTGCAGGTTATTTTTTGCTTCTGCTCGTCGGGCCTGGCATAGCGTGGGGAAAAGGCTTTTATCTGATCTGATCTTGGCCCCTCGCGCCGGGCTCTTTGTGATCTAATTGATACTCCGCGAGCACTGGGCCGCTGGGAGACAAAGCTGGAGGCCACGGGAGCGGGGCGACTCTGCCGAAGTCTTGTGAAAGCAATGACCTTGTCATGGAAGTGGAACACGCTGAGCTTGAAGCAACAAACAGAAAGGAGCCGGGGCGGTGCTGGGGGATGGGGGCGCTCCAAAAGCAGAGCAAAGAAAGGGCTGTGTCCGTTCTCCCGAGCAGCCGGGCGTGCGAAACAGGCTTCTGCAGCACATCTGTCCCGGGAGAGACTGCCCCTCATCCCAGAGGGGCTGTAGGGTCAGCGGAGACTGGTGCATCGTTTGCTCTGCCCTCTTGCAGAACAGGGTCCTCGAGAATATATCCCCGTCGCGACTCAAGGAGGAGCTGGGTGGGCTCGGTGTGCCGGGCCCAGGCCGCCTCACCACCCGCCGCTCGCGCCCACGCCTCCCGAGATCAGTGAGCGATGGGAAAGGGGAAGTGTGGCCAGAGAAGCCGTTCTCATGAGACTCAGCACAAGGGCCTTGGGCTTGTTCCAGCCCAGCGAGCAGCACCGCGCGCTTCCCAGCCGTTGGCCTCCGAGCCTTTTCCAAGGGTCAGAGTCCCCTTGTGTTTCGTGGATGGGGAAACTGAGACGCAGAGAAACCGAGTGACTTGCCAGAGGTCGCACGGCGGGTCGGTAGCAGAGACAGAAGTGGGACATTGATTCCCTGGCGCTCAGTCTGGTGCTTCTTGGCCTTCCATACTTTCATCATAGGTAGGGTCGGAAGGGACCTGAGCAGATCATCAAGTCCGACCTCCTGCCCTGGGCAGGAATGAGGGCTGGGATCATATGACCCCAGCTAGGTGATTATCTAACCTCTGTTTGAAGACCCCCCAAGTTGGAGCAAGCACCACTTTTGGCTCAGATCAAGTGTCTCGGCCTCTTGTGGGCTAAGATCAAGCGGGGGCATCCGAATCCCAAGACCTCCAGGCTTGGGCCTGCATGTAGGATGCAGATTTGGGAGCATCTGAAGTCCCCGGGTGAGAGGCTGGGATGGAGGATGCTCGCTGGTTGTAGCGCCGTACGTGGTGTTAGAGCGGTCGTCGACGTGGTTTTTGGAACGGTTGAGTTCTGCCCCGTCGATGTGATTTGGAACCGATTTGGCTGATTTGGCCTGGAACACAAATATATCAATTAAAAAAAAAAAAATCTGCCTCTGGCTTCATTCTTATCCCACTGCCTGCCGTAGCTCTTGTGTCCCCTTGTCCCTATGAGCGTGTTATTTGTTTGCCAGCGCTGTCCCCTCCCTTCCCTGTTTTCTGCCTTCACTTTACGTTTGCTAGCTTGCTCTGTCCGTTCCCAGCATCTGAGGAAGGGAGTTCAGGCTTACGCAAGCTGTGATTTAATTAGTCTGTAAGGTGCATCTCTTCCCTGCCTTCTGCCTGACGTCACGAGTAACAGGATGGAGGCTCCTGCGTCCCCCAGATCGGTGCAGGCTTCTCCTGGACAAGCCTCCCATGCGCTGCAGTAGCTCGCATCCAGGCTCCTATGGCCGAGGGGGCACATTACTTCCCCCTCCTGTCCTACCACCTGGCTAGGATGGGATCCTGCTGCACTAGGATCCGGTGGAGAAGGATCCTGCTCGGATCCGGTGGACAAGGCGCTGGCCTGGCCCCTAGCCTGTTGCATGGGTTCCCTGTCACATGGAGCTGTCAAAGCCCATGCACGTCTAGGGAGGGAGCCAGGCTGAGTGCGACTCTCCTGCATGCAGCTGAGATAACTGGGCTGGCTAATGACTCCCTTCTTCAGTGCCTTCAGATTCAGAGGTGCTTTTATCCCCCAGCTGCAAGGTCCCCTAGGAAGCCCCAGAGCTCAGCTGTGTGCCCCCCTCCGGGAAGAATTTGTTGCTGGTGAGAACGAAGGGAACCTGCTGAGCAAATAAGGAGCTGCTGTGTGAGACCCACAATGGAAAGCATTGTCCTGCGCTGGGATGCGGGCCAGGAGCCCCAAGCATGCACAGCCAAATATGTCCTCGCTGCTCCAGGGAGCGAGTGGAGGTGGGGGTGGCGTGCGCTGGCTGAGAGCTCGCAGGGCAGGGAAAGACTGGCACCAGCCTGCCCGCTAGAGACACCTCTTCTGGGCTGCGTGTTTGTGTCTGAGACGGCGTGTGGCACTTCCCGGGCATTAACCGGCACCTGCAGCACGCTGGGGGCCGTATGAGCTGGATCCCCCTTGCAGACTGAATGGGAGTGACTGAGGGACTCCAGTTT